AGTTTATATATTCATATATAGATATATGAAATAACTTTGGGTATACTTTAAGCCTCCTGCCTATCCCCCCAGTGGCAATCACCATTATGAATTTGTAAGTAGCCCTTCAAACCCACCCTTTTAAAAATAATGCAAAATAGAATCAGGAATAATTTTTTTAAAGAATCACTTTTTGATTATGTCATTCTAACTTATGTAAGTGGCATCACACTGTATCTATGACTCCACTTGCTTTTCCCATGGCTCCTTATGTTTTGGGGGCTCTATTCTTGTTGAAACATGTGGCCCTGGCTTACCATGGCATCCTATGGATGCACATTTATTTACCCCGGAATGGGTAGGGTTTCCATGGATGGAGATAATCAAGGGATGACATTCCAGGTAGAGGGAGTGGCAGCATAGGGGGCTGGGGATAGGAAAGCCAGGACACACCTAGGGGCTGGTACAGTCCAGGGTGGAGGGAGCACAGGGCATGTGAGGGGGGGCTGGGGAGGCCCCGTGCCCCAGGTGAGGAATCTGCAGTTGGCATGCTGGACATCTGGATTGTGAGGACAGCCCCCCTCCCCCTGAACCTCCGCACACCCCCCACAATAATTCCACTTATCCACTCTCCAAGGCCTCTCGGGGAGGACTCTGTTACTCTTTCCATTAATTGTCTCATTAATGACCCGCTGAAGTCAAGTACCTATTGTTCTCTGGGGCCTGGGGCAGCCTCCCTGGCTTTCTCCCCCGGGGATCAGTAAACGTCTTTCCTTCCCCTGCTTTCCTTTGGCAGGCGTCCTTATCTGGTCCCCGCAGCCCTGGCGGCCAGCGCTGGCTCTTCCTCCACCCACACCCTCCACGACCCTGGGGCCCAGCACAGCCACAGCCTTCCATCTAAATGTGTGTCTTTCCATTTTTCTTTTTTTCTTCCTTTTCCTTCCCTTTCCTTCTTCCCCACCCTTTTCTTCCTTTTCCTTCCCTTTCCTTCTTCCCCACCCCCTTTTTTTAAATACTCTCTGTGTCTCTCTCCCTGGATGTTGGTCCCTTTCTTTGTGTGTATTTCTCTATCTCCCTCTGTGTCTCTGTCTCTATTTCTAGGTGTCTCTTCCCGGATATCTGTTAACTGTCGCACTGTCACCATCTGTTTCTCTCTGTCTCTGTGACTGTTTGTCGCCATCTCTTTCTGTCTCTACCTGCTGATCTCTAGGCTTCTACGTGTGCTCGCTCGGGAGTGTGCATGTGGGTGTGTTTCTGTCTCCCTCCCTCCCTCTGGCCCTGTGTGTGTATCTGTCTCTGTCCCTGCCTCCCTCTCTCTGCTCTCCGACTTAACCTCTCCTCACCCGCCCCTCCTCCCTGTAGGTCTCTGAACCCTCCTGATTGACTATTGTCCTGTTTCCAAACCCTGCCCCTCAGCCACTGCCTGCTCACCCACGGGGTCCCTGACACCCACACAGCTCAAATTGCCTCCCCACGTCCCTCTGGTTACAGTTCCAGCTGCCCCTGGATGGCAGCCTCAGGGACATCAGCTCTAGGAGTAGGCGTGAGGGCACCATAGCTGCCAGACTTTGGGATTCATGCATCAGTGAAGTTAAATAAAAAGGAGGGGACTAACTTCTTATATTTCTAAATAATGATTTTTTAGAATCACCAGCTTCTTATCATAAGAATATTTTAACACTAAACACACAAGTAGAAAGAGCAAAATGTAAGAATATAGAATAGTCCTTTAAGTTAAATTACCTATTGTATGAAAACATTTGCTACATTGCCTTTATTTATTTTGCCCCAAATGGGTGAAATTGCTGCCAGGGACCAGCCTGGGTTCTCTGATCTTGTCCAAGCCCCTCCCTGGGGGAATGGAGTGACCTTTATTGAGGATAGAAAGGGCAAAACTGAGACAGGACCCATAGGCTCTCGCTTCTGCACTGCTCTGGCCTGAGTTAAAATAACTTACTGAGATTGCCCAGCTGGAGGGGTCAGACTCCCTGCACTCCATACCATATATATGACGGCCTTTGCACAAGTCATTTAACCTCTTTGGGCTTCCATTTCCTCATTGGTAAAATGAGCTTCCAGACTTACTTATACACAGCAAAGGCCCAGGACATGGTAGCCCCTGTCAGTATCAGCAAAGGGGGGCCATTTGGGCTGAGGCTGGAGCCTTGAAGGGAGAGAAGATACATATGCCCTGCCCTCTGGCCAGGCCAGCCCCTGTGTACCTAACAAAATTTGTCCCCCAAATAGAGAATATCCCTTTTTATGCACATCATGACATTGACCATCATTAGGGCAAAGGAAACTGCAAAGTTTCACTCAATGGTTTCAGTGGGATAAAGGATGTAGATGCACTTTGAAAACTAAAAAGCACCAAGTCAGTATCAGTTATGGATACTATCAATACTGTTATTGTTAACATTATTCACCGCCGGGTGGTCTTTTGGCTCACTCTCTGGTTCTCTGGTATGTGGTAGAGGAGTCTGACACCAGGTGAGGTATCAATATGTAGTCTTTACTGTTTCCATAAGAGCTACCATTCCCTTGGTGTTTACTCTGCTACTTTGCATGGGGTCCTTTATTAGAAGTAGCTTTCTAATTGTTTGGGGAAAGCAAGCTTTCTGCTTCTCTATCACCCTTGGGCCCAGAACAATGCTAGGTGCTTTTTGAGTAAGTACTCGATGGAGACCTACAAACTGAAGCACACTGATTAAGGACACACTTCAAAGGCAGATAGGAATGTCAAACTTCACTCTGGCACTTACCACCTGTGTGACCTTGGGCAAGTTAAATACCCTTCCTGAACTTCAGTTTTCTCACAGGTAAACACAGATAGGAGGAATGCCTCCACCAACTAGGATTGTTCAGAAGTTTGAATGTAGTAACACAAGTGTCTAGCCATGGTACCTGGTCCACAGTAGGCATTCCATAAATGTTAGTCTGAGGTTGAGGAAAAGGTTACCAAACATAAATTTAGAATAGGGCTTCTTCTTTTTATTTAAAAAACAAAACACTTTAAATAGAAATATTCTCCATGCATTTGAAATATTTTTTTTAAATGTTAGAGGTAATAGGGAAATAAATTATGGTGCATTCACATTGTGGAATACTACATTGCAATGAAAAAGAATAAATTGTGTCCACATGTTCACACATGGATGGATGGCCATGCTGTTGAGTAAACAAAGCAAGCTTCAGAATAGGAACAGAATAGCTCTCCTCCTCACTTTAAAAAAATTATGTATGTATAAAGGTCTGGAAGGATACACTTCTAATTTTTAAAGGGGCATAAGGACGTCTGAAGAGTTTCTTCTAATTTTTAACATTCTAGTTTCTTGTCATTTCACACACACACACACACACACACACACACACACACATCCCACGTGCAAGGAAGAAAGAAAATAACCAGAAAAATTTCTTGAATTCTCTTTGGCCTATATTTTTCATGAGACTTTGAAAGCTGTTGAACTGAATAGAGGAGATGGTTAATTCCTCTGGCAAGTGTGAGAATGTCCATACCCAGCTTTTCGTCTTTGAAAGAGAAACTGAAGAAGGAAGAGAGGGAGAGTGAATTGCTCCGCATTACTCATTACTCAGCACATCCAAACAGGTAGTCTTCTTCTCGTCCCTGCCACCACCGAAGCCCTGACACGCCGAGTAACAGAGAAAGTCTTTGATAAATGTCAACTGAAATAGAGCAATCAGCTGAAAGCCATTTGCCGAGCTGTCTAACGGCCCTGGGCCTGAGGTTTTCCTTTCTTCATTTATCATGATATTCGGCTTTGGCCAACATACACACAGGAGAGAAATTGTTGACATGTGGAACCCAAGTACAGAAAATCTTTCAATTTCCCCCCCGTCTGTTCACCAAATAAGTTTTTGTTTATTTAAAGACTACAGAGGATTTGGCTGTTAAGAACCAAATGCCTTTGGAGTGGAATTACAACATAATTTATCATTTCCTCTGTTTATTAAAAAATCCTGCATCTTTGAGAAGCACATTTGCAGTGAGTGGGGGATTTCGGCCACTCATGAAAGACTGTTGCAAAGCCCTTGCTATGTGGCTTTCCCCAAAAAAGGCTCTTCGATGGCTCTTTCCGGCCCTGTTCTTCCTTCAGCTGACTTCCAGTTGTGGGATGGCTACTCGGGGCTGGAGGACAGGGTCTGACAGAGGACAGGTAAGCAGGCAGGACATGTGTCAGCTTCTTTCACCTTCGACCTGATGCTGACCCTGAGTCTGCACTGGGTGCCGTGCAGCCTGCTCCACCAGTGCAAGCAGAGGGCGAAGGGCACCCCATGCCCCCCAGCGCGGAGCAGAGCCCCAGAGGAGTCAGACAGTGGAGAAGCTGATGCTGCTCGGAGTGTGGCTGGGCCCAGCTGCTGCCAAAGTGGGTGCCCTTCTAAAGGCAGACATTTGACAGAACTGAACTGGATGAACGTCCTACCTTCCACCCATGACATTACAAACAGTAGGTCAGTCCAGGGCACCACACACCCTCAGAGACGGGTGCCGCATCTTGCCCATTATTGTATTCCCAGTACATGGCACTGTACCTGACACACAAATGATGGGCATGGTTCAGTGGTTGAGCATCGACCTATGAACCAGGAGATCATGGTTTGATTCCCAGTTGGGGCACATGCCTGGGTTTCGCGCTTGAACCCCAATGAGGGGCATGTAGGAGGCAACCAATCAATGATTCTCTCTAATCATTGATGTTTCTCTCTCTCTCTCCCTCTCCCTTCCTCTCTGAAGTCAATAAAAATATTGCCTAGAACTGTATTTAGCTTATCATGGCTCTATTATGAATGAATGAATGAACGAACAAATGAATGATTAAAAGAAAAATTATTGGGGAGGGAAAAACCTAACTTAATCCAGTACCCAAAGATGAGCCACAATAAATCGCTTGTCTGTCACTAAGAGGCAGACCCTGGGGGAAAGGCACCTCATTACCAAGTAAATATTGAGGACAGAGCAAGAGCGGAAGGTGATGGAATGAAAGAGTTAACAGTGGGAAGAAAGGAAAAGAAGCCAGCATTTATTGTGCAAATATTACGTGCAATTCATTCACAACACATTTGAGTGCCTATTGGTTCCAGGCATTATGTCAACTTCTGAGGATACTGAAGATACAGAGACTAATTATCAAAAAGAACAGCTAAGGTGTGGGTGAGAGCCAATACTGGGGGTTCTCAGCCGGGGGAAGGAGGCTTCCGAGGAAATGCCAGCCCCCTGAGAAGTGAAGCAGGCACAGGACTGGCCCGGTGAGGAGTCGGGGAAAGGTCCGGGGAGTAAAGAGCATGTGTGAAATGACTGAGGGAAAAGTATTGTTCTGGCTGCTTTCCACACACCAGCTCCTCAGAAATCATTCATCTACACGGACTCTATCATTTCCTTTGAGGTTATTATTCTTTCCAATTTATTTTGATTTTATTGCTTGGTGAAAATAGGCCTCTCGCAAAAGTATCCAGTCACAAGTGAAGGCCCACATCAGCCCAAGCAACGTTGAAATTTGGGGACAGGGCTGGACTAATTATTTGGAAAGGAGGCTCCTGAGATGAGGACTAGTCAGTGGTCAGCCTGCCGGTGGCCCTGGTCGTTAGGCAGCAGCAGACATTCTCCAAAGGTCCCCCCGTGCCAGAAGGCCCAGAGCAGAACGGGGCGACGGGGCCGGAGGAAGGGACTGAACAAGTCTGGGTGTCCCTCTGGAAGGCTGGGCCTCACAAGGTGATGAGCACAGGGTGTCGGCCTTCCGTGGGACGGGGTACAGAGATGCCAATCTGCCACCAGGTGGGTCCCTAGAAACTGGCCCCGTGACTTTCATCCGAGGAGTTCTTTGGTCTTCACTGCCAGATGCTTGTCCAGCTCTGCAACGGTGTCGTCGGCCATTTGGCTGATCTGCAAAAACACGAAATGAGACAGCCTGGTCACCGGGGCTGGAAGAGGGCGGCGTAGAAACATTCCAGAATTCTGACAAGGTTATCTGGGAAATAATAATGGTGACATAAGCTCAAGTTCATTGAGTCCCAGCCAGGCACTCTACTAAAACTTGATGTATACACCCTGATTCCTAACAGGTACCCCATTATTATCCCCACTTCACAGGTGAGGGAACTGAGGCAGTTAGATTACCTGCTCGGGATACACAACTAGAAAGTAGCAATGGCAAAAGTTAACCCTGGGTAGTCTGATTCCAAATTCTTAACTATTATCATAGAGTACAGAGAAGCCAGCCATATCTATTCCTTAAGGAACTTCTAGAATTTCCTGCACTCAGACATTCTACTATATAAAGCCCTCACACTAATTGATAAGAAGAATATTAAGATCCCAACAGTTAAGCAGAAAAAAGTCTTGAAAAAAGATGAAGTACATCTGGTTAACAAACATGGAAAATTCAATAGACACTGAAGAAATGGAAATTCAAACAAGACATAATTCAGTCATCAGAGTTAACAAAATTTGATGTTGTGGTTTTTAATTACAATATTCAATGCCAAGAAGCTATGGTGAAATGGATAAGGTCACATATCATCAATAGGGATTCAAAATGATGCAAATGTTCATACCATTTTTAACCCCAAATTCTCTCAATGGGAAAATTACCACAGGAGTGGAATCTGAAAAAAGTTCTATAAACAAAGATGTTTATCTAAGCTTTATTTTTAATAATGAAAAATCAGAAAACCAAAAGTGAAAGAATGGGTAAATAGTTGGATACATATAAAAATTAAAAGGGGTTAAGCCCTGGCTGGTTAGAGTGTCGGCCCTGAGACCATAGGGTCTTGGGTTCCATTCCGGTCAAGGGCGTGTACCTGGGGTGCAGGTTCCTTACCTGGCCCTGGTCAGGGAATGTGCAAGAGGCAATGAATCAATGTGTCTCTCTCACATCGATGCTTCTCTCTCTCTATCTCTCTCTCTCTCCTCCATCTCCTACCTCACTTCCACTCTCTAAAAAAATCAATGGGAAAAAATGTCCTCGGGTGAGGATGAACAACAACAAAAACAGGTTTAAGAGGATCCATTTCTTATGAAGAGGGTATAAATAGGAGTAAGATTCCAGTATATATTTCTGAAACGTTTGAATGTTTAACTATTTTATAACAAGCATGGATTGCTTTTGTAATCATGAAAAAAGAATGCTTAAAGATATTATTTATAATATCATAGAAACATACTTATGTTACCCCTGAATTAAAGAAAAAGCAGGATACAAAATTGTGTATATGGATATAAAGCAGAAACAATCTCAAATGCTCAAAATTATGCATATTTTTAAAATTGGGAGGAACGCTGTCAAAATATTAATAGTGATTATCTTCCAGTGATGGGAAGATAGCTGATATATTATTCATGTGGCATCTGTCACATCCCCAGCACTGGCAAGTGCTCAGGAAGTAGTTACTAAATGAATAATTATTAAAGTTCTCTGTGCTTTTCTATATTTTCTGCAATAAACCCATACTCCCTCAGAATGAAAAACACAGTACAATTTGGTAGGTGTTGCCGTCTCCCTCCCGTGTCTTAAAGGGACCTAAGGCAGGAAGCCTCGGCAGGAAGCTTTGAGGGGTACACAGTGCCGAGGATCTGTGTTCAGCAGCACAGTGGCTATTCGACATCTTTATTTGCAGACCACAGGCCTTGGCCAGGAACTGCAAAATAAATGCCCTGGAAAAGGTAGAAACTAAAAAGGATTTGGAGCAATGGGCCCCCGGCACAGACAGCCAGGCTCTCACCATAGCAACAACTGCACATTTTTTAGCTGAAAAGCAAAGCTCCTGGGGCTGCTGGGCACTCTGGGAGAGCGACGGCTCGAATGGCTGCTCGGTCCCTCCTCACTCGGGTGCTGCAAACCCTAGAAATGCTTCTTTTGCCCCCACCTGAGCAGCCTGCCTTGCATGGGGTATGGCGTGGTGCCCAGCAGCACTCCAGCACGTGTAGGCTGCAAGCCTCCTCTGGAAAAATGGCGTTTGGGGACAGAGACGGGGCTGGGGGAAAGAGTACTTAGGGGAACAATTTGATAATGTGGATTCTGGGTTAAATTCTCAGCACGGTAACAATGTACAAGTCCGTTCCCCCGTCTGAGTTTCAGTTTCCTCATCTATCAAATAGGGTGCTGGGCCCTTCCCTAGAGAGTAGTTGGGAGGGTTAAACAAAGTCATGAATATGCAAGCATGTTTTAAATTGGTTATTTGCTATGCAAATGCTGCTTGTGTTACTCTGATTTGTACTGTCACTTCCTGACATCTTTTCAAATTAATTAATTAATGAAAATATTTACTAACTTTCTACTATATTACAGGCACAGAGTGCCCTTGGGGACGGTCTGCCTGCAAGTTCATCTTTTCCATCTCCATCAGACTTCTTAAAATAACGATGATTAACAACAACGACAAGGATACCGACACCTCCCACTCACTACATGCCTGACAATGGGCTAAAAAGCTGACACGCATTATTTCACATAATCTTCAAAACATGAAATACCATACTCATCTCCCTTGAATGTATTATGAATGTTAATTATTTCACCTGACGGTTGCATAGTAGTTTATAGTTTGCAAAAGTGTTTTGTTCTCTGTTACTTCATTCAAATCCAACAACCTGACATAACCTCTATAAGGCAGGTGGCACAGGTATTACCCCTATTTACAGAGGACTAAACCAAGGCATAAAATGTTAACTAACCCGTGCAGAATCACATAAAGTCAGTAATGAGACTGAGCCAAGAACTCAGCCCCCCGCAGAGACCACTGCACCTGACCTAGTCTGCCTCCTTCCAGGCAGACGTGCTAGGCTCATTCAGTCAATCCCTGTCCCTGGTGAGGAGAGACATGGAATGGGCAAACAGGCAGAGAATTACTGAAGACCAGCAACCGTACTCGCCACTTTTAAGCAGCTGTGGGACTTGGTCCTCTTACCAATCCTGTGAGAGAGGCTTCCTGCTCCCACTTACAGTGAGGAACCAGAGGCTCAGAAAGGTGAAGCCATCTGCTGACCTGGCTGGGAGCTGACAAGCCAAAGAGCTGTTCTGACTGCACAGCAAGAGCCCTTTCCATTACCGAGTGCTGCCTCACAAGGATTATACCATCATCAGCATCACCATCACCATCACATCTGCTCCCTACAAGTTCAGGAAAATGAAAGGTAGCGAGGAAGAGGGAGGCAGGAGCACACAGTACACCCTGGGGCAGGCCTGGGTAGCGAGTCACCCTTCCTGAGGCCCGGCTCAGAACACCCTCGGTGCCACTGGGTGCTGCTCCCACCGCCTCACTCAGTCCCGCCTGCTGCCCGTCTGCTAGGAGCCTTTCCTTCCTTCAGCCCCACTAGCACCCAGCGTCACTTCAGAGCAGTTCCGTTTCTCAGAAAAAGGCAGCAGTGAAAGGATCTTGGCCAGATTTACTGGTGGTTTCTGCCAAGTGCTTTAATGTTCAGCAGGCCCATTTACAGCAAACTGAAGCGAAGGTGAAACAGCAGGCTGACAGATGTCAGAGCCCGGCTGGAAGACCCTGGGCCTTCTTCAGCAGAGCTGGCCTGAGCTGGGGGCAGGGAAGGGAGGGGCAGCGTTTGGGGGGTTGGGGGGGGAGGGGGGTTGGACATGACTGCAGGGAAAGAACCCACCACAGAATAATTTCCTTCTTATAGACCGAAGACAAAACATTTTTATGACAGAATTTTGAAATGTATGACCTCAAAAGACATTTGGAAATTTTTTTAAAAATTAAGAGAATCTCAAAGTATAAAATTAAAATTGTCTATAATCTCATTACCTGAAATAACCACCATTAACATTTAAGTGGATAGGCTGCCAATTTTTTTATGTACATGAAACTCTTCATTATAAAAATAAAATCATATGATAATACTGTTATGTAATCTACCTTTAAAATATAAATTCCAAAAAGTACATCTGTAAAATATTTTTATAGTTGTTGCTATATGTAGATTCCAGTTAAGGAATGTAAAACAACTTATTTTCCCACTGTTAGAAATTTAGACAGTTTCCAGTTTTCTACAATTATACATAATCAACACACACTTCTATAGATAAGATTTTTGACAATTTATTTTAGATAAATTCCCAAGTCAGTGAATCAGAAATGTATGGATTTTGGTATATACTGCCATACTATCCTCTAGAAAAATTGTATGGATTTATACAAAGAATAACGTAATCTTTCCAATGGAGTGTGGAAGTAAAAGCAACACTCCTAATGTAAGCAACATTTTAAGCTCACATTAAAAGTTCTAGGTTCAAATATTAGAGATTAGAAAAGGCCAAAAAAAAAAAAATTAAATACACATATTCTAAAAACCCATGAGTGATTTAGGCACTCTGTACCAAGAACCTTAAAACATGCATTCCCTTTGCGCTGTAATTCCACACTTGGGACTGTATCCTAGGGAAATTATCTCAACAAAGATGTGTGTATAAAAATATTCACTGCAACCTTACTTAAAATAACAAAAACGTTTAAACAAACTAAATGTCCAACAACAGGGCTTACAAAAGTGAATTATGGTATGACGACAGACTGTTTTGCAACCATTAGAAATGTCTGTTTACAAAGAGATTTTTAAGACACAAGAAAATGCTAATGGTTTTAATGCCGAACAGATAATAAAAAGCTGTATACAAATTGTATGTACAGTACATGTTCTCAATCATGTTTAAAACTATGTAGTTTAAAAAAAGGGGGGGAGAAAAATTCCAAAATATTACGAGCAGTTGTTCCTGCAATGTGGGATCATGGGGTGAATTTTTCCCCATTTTTTAAAAACAGTCTTCTGAACTCTGCATTTTCTACAATACTTTGATAATCAGGAACAAAGTAAACAAACATATTTTAAAAACTGCTTGATAAAGCAACAATCAGCCCCTGCCTGTTTAACTTAAATAAAAACATACACCAAAAACTGCATATCTGTGCCTTCTGTCAGGAAAAAAGAACAAAATGAAGTGTGTACAAAATTGTCTTCTATTTTCTTATTGAACTTTGAACCACATGACAGTAAAAAGTTTTTATCAATAATGGCAGAACTAATATTTAAATGATAATATCTTAGTAATAAAGATTGTTGTGAAATAAATATCTAGTAGTAGCTTTTTTCTTGTAATATTACATAAATGCTTACAGAGATAATTTGAATGTTAATAATGGTCATCTCTGGGTGATGAAATTTCACTTACTTTCTTTTTAATTAAAAAAAATTTATACGAAACAAGGATTAGTTTAGTATCAGAAAAAAATAAAGTTACTTGCACTTTGAAAAATAATGTACAGTAACAAGCACTGAATAAAATATCTAATCTGAAAAGGAAGGTGAGAAGCCAGGTGCCAAGGACAGAAGGCTTCCAGCAAGGTCACTGTCAAGGGGGTTTCATCAGGAGAGCTGGTTATCCAATCAGTCTCTTTTGCAAGGAGCACGGGCTCTGGTCCCTGAGGCAGATGCCCAGATTTGCTGAGTGAGGACCTACCACCAGGAAGCAACCAAGGGGCCAAATGTCAGCTGAAGAGATGAAAGCCCCGGGGAGATGGACAAGGAGCTGGCTCAGCAGGGACCAGGCCTGGACTCTCCCAGGACTGATCAGGGCTCAGAGAGGCCAGCTAGCCTCTGTATCTCTGTCAGCTGATGCAGGGAGAGAGGAGAGCACAGGGATGGCAAGAAGGGAGCTTTGGGGGTCTGGGTGTCAGGTAATGGTGCTTCTAGCAGCCCCAGGGCAACCCTCATGGCAGGAATTACAAATCCCTTGTTACAGAAGAAACAGGCTGAGGAGTCGTGTAACCTCCCCAATGCCACAGGACACCAACTGCAGAACAATCTCTTTTAAACTCGGGTGCCTTGCCACACCTTGTCTGCTTTTTGCAGAATCACCTAGGCAACTTTTTAAAAATACACATTCCTGGGCAGACCTGCTGAAACAGAAAATTCAGGAGCTGGCCCCAAGAATCCATCTAAAATTCTCCCCTGGGTGACTGTCTGGCCTGGCCTGTGACTAGCTGGCCCAGGAGAAGGGGAGCAGGGAGTCCATGTATGGCCTCCTCCAGGTGTCCTGCCTTCCACTCCTTCCCTCTTGGTCCACATCCTGCTCAAACTCTTACTTAAACTAACGCTTTTATTGTGGACAAGGTGGCTTTGGGTGAGCACTTTACAGCACACTCAACATTATAAATTCTATCTCCTAAATACTGTTAAGTTCATCTTCCTACCTTAATTCCACTTGTACCACCCAGGTCAGGCCACTGTCATTTCCTGGTTGGATTTCTTTTCTTTTTTAAAAAAATATATTTTTATTGATTTCAGAGAGGAAGGGAGAGGGAGAGAGAGATAGAATGATCAATGATGAGAGAGAATCATTGATCGGCTGCCCTCTGTATGCCTACTGGGGATTGAGCCAGCAACCTAGGCATGTGCCCTTAGACCAGAATCAAACCTGGGACCCTTCAGTCTGAAGGCCGATGCTCTATCCACTGACCCAAACCAGCCAGGGAAGATAGATTCCTTCCTTCCTTCCTTCCTTTCCTTCCTTCCTACCTTCCTACCTTTATGACTGAAAGTATTATATATGTCCCCTTTTTTTCCAGTGACAGGTGTAAGTGCCACCACTGGGCACACCAAGAACACTGTTAAGTTCTCACTTCTCAGCACCCAGACCACCAACCTCAGACAGGAGAGCAATAATGTATATAGGCTCTGAAGTCAGTCGACCTGTCTTTGGATCCCATTTCTACCTTTTATCAGCAGTATGACTTTGAGCAAGCCATTCAACTTCCTTGGACCTATTTCCTTGCTGCCTACCCCTCACAGCTTTGTAGTGACAAGGATAAATGAAGTGATGGAAAGTGTTTGGCAGAACCTGGCACACAGTGAAAGGTCAGCAGATCTCCTCCTCCTCCTCCCTAATCCCAGGGCCCAGCACAGGGCGAGGCCCAGGACAGAGACCCAGTCATCACATCAATGATGACCCAGTCATCACATCAATGAAGGACCAGGGTGCTGTATCTTGTCTTCATTTTCCTCACTTTAGACATGAACAAGTGAGTCCCTGGATCAGATACAGAAGCATTACATCGCTGGGAATCGTACCTGCTTTTCTATGAGTCGAATGGTGTCCTCCGAGGTTTTGTCCTTTGATTTCTTCAGCTTATTCATTGCGTTGGTACGAACCTTCCGTAAGGAGTCTTTGGCCTTGTTGGTGTTCTGTTTGGCCAATTTGGCCAGCATTTCCCTGTGCTCCCTGGTTACTCTGATAAAAGAGAAAAATTTACCGGTAACATCACACTGTCCATTAGCTCAACAGTTTGTAACCTTACTCTCTGATGGTGGATGAGCTTCACATTCCTGACACGCGCCCATGGGGGTGCTCAGGGTCAAGTAAGGTTCCTGGTGAGTTAGCGGAGAAGAGCCAGTAAGAGTACTGCTTAAAAGCATGAGCCAAGGAGTCTAGGAATATGAGGGGCAAATCCTACAAGAAGTGTAAGACTTGTCTCCTCAGCGTTCCTGTCTTTATACTGGGACTTGTCAGTGCCTGTCTTAGGCAGTGGCGTCAAGATCACATGAGATGATGCATGTACACTGTTTGCCACTGACCCCGGCACATTTTAACTGCTCAATAAAAGGAAGCAACAATTGGCTATAACTCCATCCCCTTCTCTCCCACTAAAGAAAGCGATGCAAATGAGTAATGATACTATAGAAACAGCATCATCTTTAAATCTCTAATTCACCCAAAACAAATATGTAGCAACCTTCAGAATCTTAACTATCATTATAGCAAATGACTTATGAGTTACCTCAAAACTGACCGGGAAACAACGGGAGTCCCAACGTAACATGTGAGAACAAATGCACCAGTTAACTTCCACACGGACCCAGGGGAGCGTCTGGCATGTGATAAATGCTAATGAATGTTAGTTATGTTTACTACTAACATCTCATCATAATAACAACAATGAGCACATGGAGGGCCTACTATAAACCACCAGGACAGGCACTTCATATGTTGATCCTTACAACAACTGTATGAGGCAATTAGTATTAATCCTGTTTTACATTCATCATCACAACAGCCCAGCAGCACAGTAAGCCATCACGTTTGTCCTGCCTTCATTTCTTTGTCATGTACAGATCAAGGGTCCAATACCTATCAAAACCAGTGCTGGGCACTGAGGACAAAATGATGAACATTTTGTCCTGCTCCTAAGGAGCTTAGCTGGGCAGAGAGGTCAATAGAGAGAAATTGACAACATAGTGTAAGAAGTGCTATGGACAGGAACATGGGAAAGCATCAGATGTCACAGCACAAAAGAAGCTCAGCTAACTCAAAAGTTTCTGTCCAAGTTAAGGGAAGCGTTTCCTAGAAAAATAGCATATGAATGTGGTGGCCGTGAGGTCTTTTCACTAGCATTCTGGTCCCTACTGCTGCAGTAGGAATGCATTTCCCTAGCCACACAGTGTGGCTGCACAACTTGCTTTGGCCAATGAAATGTGAGAGAAATTATGGGCACTGCTACAGGGCAGAAGCTTCAAGAGCCAGTGTGTGTTCCACTACATTAGCTTCTGCTGGCCACAATATACGTGGCATATGAATATCCATGAGCTTAGTTCCCAGAGTGACTATGACGAACAGCGCCCATCATACAGCATGAGCAAGGCATACATTTCTGTTGTGAAAGCCGTGGAGATCTGGGGGTTGCTTGTTACTACAGCATAGCCCATCCTATTCTGACTAATATACCACACTAGGATCTGAAGGACGAGAACAAGTTGCCAGCACTGGCGTGGCAAAGGGAGACTTCCAGGAGGAAGAAAGAGCAGGTAGGAAGGCTCTGAGCTGCAGAGACCAAGTTTCATTTGAGGAACTGACTGGAGTGCAGATAACAAAGGAGAATGACAAGAAAAGAGGCCAGAAATTCCTATCATGGAGGGCCTTGTAAGATCATGAACTCCATTTTACAGATTAAAAAATGAGACCCAAAGGAATTTTAAATATCTTACACAAAATCAAACCCAGTCTGTCCTGTCTCAAAAGTCAATGGTCTTAGTATGACAAAATTCCTCTGCCCTCCTGGGTCCTGAAGTGGACATCCTTGGCATATAGTTCCTGACCCTCAAATCAATGCAGTTCTTGCCCAGTAAGGACAATCCCAAGTTCTGGATACCTGCTCCGTGGGAAACAGTGGCAAGCATGTGTTAAAGATTTAGTGGCGTCCACCTGGTATTTTTTCCCTGATGGGATGAGAAGAAAACTGAACATTTTTGAGAAAGATACACTACAAAGTGGACAGATGTGTTATAAAGAAATCCTTCTGGATTCAGCTAATTGAAGGTATTCTCAAAATAAAAATGACCCTGATTACTACCATTATTAAGCCCCTCTATGCCAGGTGAGTACTTTAGGTATATTTCCTTACAATCCTCACCACAGCTCTTTGAACTAGATTCTCATACCCCCATTCTGCCCAGAGGAAATTGAGGTGCAGAGGTTGAGTGACTTGCCGATAGGCTTGAGTGACAGAACTGGGATTCAAACCCAGATCTTTCTGGCCCGTATTCTTTCCACTACTCCATGCTGCCCCCCTTGTACTCTATTTCACATAAATCCGGCACTGCTGCCACGACTCTGCTCCCAGGCAGAAAGCTTTTCAAAGCCAGTAATATGAAGCTTGGGACTGAAAAGGACAAAACCACCATGTCAGGAGTTTAGGGATTTGGATCAGATCTTGTTACTTTTATGGTTTTTAATTCATTGAACAAAAATCATGCTGACATGTTTAGGTCTCTTTTTTGTTCTGCCAAAGCATATGTCGGTATAAGGAAGGAACAGGAAAATTAAAACTTGATCCACTGATTCAAAAAACTTAATCCTGCTGAAATACTAGGAGGGCAGAAAATAAATGAATCTAAGTCTGTAAGAAACCTCTCAAACTTCCCTAACAACAAGTATTTCAATCTTATATTTCATATATAATTTGAAATAGGTATCCTACTGTTTAGAAAATCTTTAATAAAAATTTTTATCTATCAACTTCCTCTTCACTACATTGTTTTATTTATATTTTACATGAAGGGAAAAATACCATACATTTAAAAATATATCAATTGGGGCTCAAAAAATCTTAAGAGCAAACGGCAATATAAAGAAAATCACAATATATGTAATTTAGCCTTAATAAGTGCATTTTTTATTTATTAGTGTAAATGTGACATTACACTAACACCAGACAGTTTCCACAAATAATAATATCCAATTATTGACAATGACAAAAATATTTCAGTTTTAGGATGCAAATAAGCAATAATCTAAGGAAATGGAGAAGGGAGCACAGTGAGGAGGGGGAAAAGGGAAAGAAGAAGAGGGCACCAGCATGGGCAGGGCTGAGCTTGGGGTGTTGAGATGGAAGGTATCTAAAATACAAGGTCAGAAGCAGTGAGGGTGATGGAAAGGCAGTGGCTCTGAAGTCAGACCGACTTGTTTCATTCCCGTTATCTATCACCCAGAGCTGACTATGCTTGGGCAAGCTACTCACTTCTCTCTGAGCCTCAGTGTCCTCATTTCTAAGGTGGAAATATTAAAAACACCTAAATATCTTAAGGTGACTGGGAGAGCAATCACATGTATAAAGTACCAATAAAGAAAGCAGCATATAGTAGCCTTGAGTAAATGATATAGCATTTATGAATGTTTTAATCAAACACACTTAATTACTTTCTCATGAAACGAGGGCACATCTGTTTTAGAAAAGAAACATACTATATTATGGAAATATTTTAATGCCTTTCCAAACCAGTGATTAATACATCCGATCGTCTCCATCTCACATTCGTGGATTCTGTGAGTACACCCTGGTTTGTATTCCAGGCTGCTGAACTCAGCCAGTTGTCTAGCAGCCTCTCTGTGCCTGGCATGCACTGGTTCAAGCACTGGCAGAGGCCCCTGCGCTCCGTGCCAGACCCTGGGCCAGGCTGAGGAGCTCCAGAGCGGAGGCAGGCCTGGGCCACCTTCTCGGAGGCTCATGCAGTGGTGGGGACAACTGTCAACCACAACTGAGAAAGAGGATGGCTGCTGCTGGATCAGAGGGACGGACCTTCTGTGGAGGGAGCATGCGTACTGTCTGGAGATTTGGAAAATGCCCAGGAGATTCAGAGTAATTTGTCAGCTGCAGAAGAAAGGAGAGGGCATTTCAGGCAGAAGCACAGGGAGAAATATAATGGCAGGAGGGTATGAGACATAAAATGGTGCAAACCGAGTCAAATTTGTTCTGGAGGCCCAGAGTCATAAAACTCTGGTTTCAAAGACAATCATGGCATATAGAACAGATAAAAAGAGGGCTATTCCAGTTACTGAGGGAAAAGGCACCAGGGGATGTGGCCTAGGAAGCTTAGCTCCACCCTGACTGCCCTGCACGTCTGGGCCACCACTTACTGGCTGACTAACCTTAAGCAAGCTATTTAAACTCTGAGGTGTTTAAAAATATTTTGGTAGATTTTTTTTTTCTAGAGAGAGAGGAAGGGAGAGGGACAGGGATACATCGATGTGAAAGTGAAACATCAATTGGCTGCCTCCTGCATGCCCCCTACTGGGGATCAAGTCCACAACCTAGGCATGTACCCTGACTGGGAAACGAACCGGCAATCTTTCGGTGCATGGGATGATACCCAACCAATGGAGCCATACCAGCCAGGGCTAAACTCTCTGAATTTTAATGATCTCATCTGGAAATAGAAATTGAAAACAAATAAACAAAAAACAACATCTACCTTCCAGAGTTATTGTGAGAATTCGATGAGATAATACATGGAAAGTATACACTACAAGGCTTGGTGGAGAATAAACAATCAGAAAATGTAAGCTGCTTTTGTTGCAATTGTTGTTTATGTTTTGGCAACCACTGAGGCATCTTCAAATAATGAAGAGTTTACTCATGAAAGTTTTTATCAACAGAGAAAGGGTAGGGCAAACAATCTATGCTTCAGTAAGATGACTTTCTGAGATCTGACTAGTAATTAAACATCTCATGCACATTTTAAAATACAAATGCTCCCAGCACATAGCCCTGAAATTTTCTTTCTTCAGGATTCATTCATGCAGTTTACAGTATCATTCTACAGCTATTTACTGGGCACCTAGCATGTGCCAGCCACTGTCAGACACTAAGGATATAGCATCAAACACATTTGTGTTTAGCCTTAGCCGGTTTGGCTCAGTGGATAGAGTGTGGACTGAAGGGTCCCAGGTTCTATTTC